TCTACATACAGTGTCTCCTTGCCAGCTCACTTCATAGAATTAATTCTCTCCTCTCCACCCACTCTGTTGTGCTGTTGGTGTGTGTGCATGTGTGTGTGATAGGAATGCACAGGGGACTCATGAAGGGGCCGTGTTTGTATGAACACGGACAATTCATCATGGCTTGATTAACATGCAAGATTTTTTATCTCCGGTTTTCCCCCTTTTTCCTCTTTCCCTCTCTTCTCTCTGTGCTTTCCTCGGGTGGTGATAATTAAAAAAATGATGTATTCCACTGGTTAATTGACTGATATCCTTGGCGCAGAGTTCTATAAATGCAGGACTCAAAATACAACAAAACAGTTAATCAGGGCACATGTGACGTGATCATCCAATTGGAAATTCCTTAGCATTTGGATGCTAACACAAATATAAGCAGTTAAAATAATCCTGAATACGTCAAACACAGCCTCTTGTATTTACATTCCAGTCGTGTTAATGTGGTGATATCAATGGTTACCGAGGTACTGTAACAGCAAGTGTGGTTAATACTACAGCAAACACTCCTTAAGTAGTGAAAACAGAGGCCCAAATGCTGAAAATAAGATAACATTTTTGCGAATTTCACACATTGCTTCCAGTGAATTTCTTGTATAGATGGCGATTTGAATCAAGCACGAAAAGGATCTACCAATAGGGAAAAACATTTAATAAGTAATTGCTCAATGTAAACAAAATGAAATAATGCAGACTCTAAATATAATCAAAAATGTAGTTTGAGTTTATAGAAAACTTGAAAATGTTGTATGATTTTTACTTCGGTATGTAAAAAAGTGTGGACATCAAAACAACATTGGTTGCACAGGCTGCATTGTCGAAGGAAGGAAACCCCAATATTATTTGTTTTACTACATGTGTCTGCCCACTGCCATGCAACCGTTACATCCCATCTAATTTTAATGTTTTATAGATATTATAAATACATGTTTACTAAAACTCTTAACGTCCATCAGAGTTTGACTGAGCCAATAATTATGACCTTTTCTTCTTGAGCCATCCACTCCATGTAGGTGTTTGCATTCACAAGCAGACATCTGTATTGGCATCCCCAATAGGTAATTGAGGGCAGACTGTGCCCAGTGTTGTACACATTGTGACTAAATAGGCGTTGTGGAGCCCAGCTGCAGACTGTAGATGGCCCAGGGCAGACATCAGTGTCCACATCAATCCAGACCTTGGAGCTGGTTGACCTGTGCTGGGCCTGTCTTGTTTCCAACGACCGTTTGTTACTAATTAATGGACTGGAGCCCATTCTCCAGCGCTGAGTGCAACACAAACCACATGCATTAAACATGACCATGCCTCCCTCTGCTGCCAGAGCTGGGAAGACAGAAAGATGGAGAGAGGGAGGGAGAAAGAGGCGACAATAGAGAACAACATGCACCTGTAACGCTTCCCAATTACAGAATACACAAATAAAACAAAAATTCACATCGGAAATAGGTTTTTGCTGTTAAACAGACAATTCAAGTATCCGGTATATTGTCATATGTTTCAAACTTATATCAGGAAGATGTTTAGGTCCTCATTTCAACATAAAAACAACAATTTGTATGAGTTGTTGGCTATTTGCCCTATGAATATGTTTTCTCACTTTTGTAAAACAACTATATTTTTCAGATTAGCTAGTTTGAAAAAATGTATGGTTTCGAGAAAGGTCTTTCGAAAAAGACTGGACTTGCCCTTTAAGACTGAAAGCCTTCTCTGTGGCCATCATCTCACGCGCACGTACACACAGGAAGCGAAACACACACACTGTAACACACGTTAATGTATAAATTGCCATTATCTGAGCTGCCGCCGGTGACAGAAGCGCCCCCACCAAGATCACCTCAGCTGACAAAAGTTAATTTGCACTAATGATGTTTTACTCCTCTCATTACCTTAAATCATCTCCTTCCCCTCCCTCCCTTCACTGCGGAGAGGGATGCAAATAGAAAGGTGCAGAAAGAGAACCGCCAGCCAAAGTGGAATAAGTGAAACGCAGTGAGATGCACTGTGGCCGGGAGCACAGTAAGCAGTTTGTAATTGTTATTGTTCCCGATGAAGTTGATGTTCGTCCGCACTGCACTAAACAGCTCTCCCTCCACTCGCTGTTAAATATTTTACACCATCGTATAATTATCAAAGCTACTCAAGATAATTTTTGATGGAAGGCATGTGCACTCTCGAGTGTTTTTACTGTACAGCCCGCCGCAGCCTTGTATTTATGTTGTAGGCTTAAGTGGTGGACTTTGTAATGATAACAGAGTCTGGGCTTAACAAGTGTAGAGTGTTTAATGTGTAAATTAGCTTTTTTATCATGCAAGTTTGATTATTATTGTCTTATGACTTAGGGTAATGAGCATTTTGTTGAGTTTTGCCAAACTTCTTAATCCTCAAAGCTTGCATTACTGGTCTAGCTGTGAAGGTGTCTCTGCATTACTTGTTTGCCATCTCCATTATACTTTTATTGTTCTATAAGAATGCAACTTAATCATGCTTGTGTCTGGAGTTTGGAGACCTGTTACAACTCCCAGTATTGCTCTGTTCAACTCATACGAAAGAGGACAACCCATTATTCGTTTAGGTCAATGCAAGGCCTTAAAGGTCCCCTATTATACTGTTTTTCATCAATATATCATAGGTCTCAGATATAAAAAACTAATTCTCTTTCTTTGTGCAGATCCGATGAACTATAACATATTTCTACCGTGAGTTATGTGCTAGGTGCGTTAGCACTCTTTCGCTTAGTGCTAATTTAGAGGCTCTGCGTTAGACTTGTGTTTCGTTTCGGTACAAATTGTTCATATCGTCAGTTAGCTGAGTTTCTTCCCGTTAAGTGGGTATGACACATTCATAGTTTGTTAAATGTTAGGAAGCCCTCAGACGCTGTTTCTTGCAAGATGTTGTGGGAGCCCCCGCTCCCGCAACTGTTGTGCTTTTGGGGTTTTTGCTTTCCTGTTGTGTGTTTAATAGGTTTTTGTGCATGTACTGTAAATGGTCTTCAAAGGGTTGAATCCCAAAGTACTTAGTGGCATGAACTCAAATGCACAACTCAGACTCAGACTCACGTGGTATTAAAAAAATAAAGACTTTACTGGTTTTAGCACAGTAACAAAACAAGGAAACACAAAATCACTCTTTCGAGGAAAAACTATCAGCAGACATCAGGAGCATGAGAAACGGGATACGACCATGGAGCAGGCTTGAGCGTAGTCATGAATGAGAAACGAACTGAAGACGATTACTGACGCCTCTTATATAGTCTCAATCTACACTCCCTTCCCCAAGTCCACCAGAGTATTGAAAACAGACCTCTTGTTAACACACGTTTGAGACCCTCATCTACGAAATTACATTGTCCAGTGTTAGGTGTGTTACGATTGGCAATACCCTAAGGATTACTGAGGGTGCTGGAGAGAAATTGTTATAGCTGATTGAAAGATATACTCGACACTTGCCTCACTCGTGTACCAATTGTAAACCCTACGTTAGCTTCCGAGAATACTCCTGTTAACTGTGTATTTAACATCTGTCTGAACTCACCTTGAGACCCGACGACAAAATGAAAATACAAGTTACTCTTGTTAACATCTACATAGACGAATAGTAAATTTACACCGAGGAATTTCCCTGTAAGACGAGAATACAAGTAAAAATCAAACATAAACATAAAACTCGGAGAAGATACTATACAAGAAGTACGAAATCTACAGTCTTTCACGAAATAAAAAGAGTGAATGACGGAACACAAACGTCGGTGAGAAAAGTGGGAGACGAGAACTTTGGTCCGGGTCTGACGAGACAACACTAACCAGTGGCGACAGTACAAACTTGAATAAGGTACTTTCACATAAGAAATATAATCCAAAACAGTGACAGGCGCAAACATAAGACACGGAGACCAGAATAACAACTTTTCATTAAGAGGGAGAGCAAAGGTCCTGAGGGTACGAGGGCGGGATACACAGAGCGGACACAAGCACTATACATAATGGGGCGCGGACTAACAATAGGTGGACACAGGGAGTGGAACACATATATAACACAATCAGGGGTGG